ATATCCCCGGAGGCCGCCATAAGCTGAACCCCAGCCAGACCAAGGCCGTCAGGGAGGCTCTGAGGAAGCAGTTCGCCGTCATCCAGGGCCCGCCAGGTGGGGCCCACGTCGGGGCTGCGGGCGCCGGGGCGGGCTGGTGGGGGCTCCGTTCACCCTCGTCTCTGCCCGCAGGCACGGGGAAGACAGTAGCAGGCTTCCACATTGTGTTCTGGCTTCACAAACTCAACGAGGAGCAGTGGCAGGCCTGCGGCGCCCCGCTTGGCGGCCCCTGCGTCTTGTACTGCGGCCCCTCCAACAAGTCAGTGGACGTCGTGGCAGGTGCACTGGGTCGGCCGTGGGGCGCTCTGCTTGGGAGCTCTGGGCCCAGGGGCCGCTCCCTGATGCCCCGACTGCCCCCAGGACTGCTCCTGAGCAGGAGAGCAGAGCTGAAGCCCCTTCGCGTGTACAGTGAACAGGCCGAGGCCACTGAGTTCCCAGTGCCGGGCGTGGGCAGCAGGGGCCTGCCCAAGAAGACCCCGCGAGAGGGGCGACCCAACCCGGAGCTCAGGTGCGCCTCTCGGCCGGCTGGCTGGCTGTGTGTTCGGGTGGAGGCAAGTGGCCTGAGCTGCCCCAATGGCCCTGCCTTGGGCAGGGGACAACGCGGGGCCTCACGAAGGTGTTCCCCTAGGGGCATCACGCTGCACCACCGGATCCGGCAGGCTTCCAACCCCCACGCGCCCGACCTCAAGGCCTTCGACGCCCGGCTGCAGAAAGGGGAGGTCTTCTCCAAGGAGGATCTCAACCAGTGAGTGACTAGAGCCACGGAGCCGTCCCCTGGCACGTGGGCCCCTGGGTGACCGGATGGCATCTGCATGCAGGTACAGGAAGGTCCTGGGGAAGGCACGGAAGTTCGAGCTGGACCGGCATGGGGTCATCCTGTGCACGTGCTCGTGTGCGGCCTCAGCCAGCCTCAAGAACCTGAACGTCCGGCAGATCCTCGTGGACGAGGCAGGCATGGCCACGGAGCCCGAGACCCTCATCCCCCTGGTGGCCTTCTCTCAGGTGGAGAAGGTGAGCGGGGACCGTGTCACTGGCCGTGGCCTCCCGCTGGGGTGCAGGCAGCACACGGGGGGACAGGCTCATGGGAGGGCCGTGACGGCCACAGGGCCGGGTACACCTGGGGTGTCAGCACCGTTCCTGTCTGTTCCGCCAGGTGGTTCTTCTTGGGGACCACAAGCAGCTGCGGCCTGTGGTCAAGAACGAGCAGCTGCAGAGCCTGGGGCTGGATCGGTCCTTGTTCGAGAGGTACTCCAAGGAGGCCTACATGCTGGACACGCAGTACCGCATGGTGAGCCCGGCCCGGCCCAGCCCCGCCTCTCTGGCCGGAGGTGTTATGGCCCTGCCCTTACCTCCTGCGTCTACCCCAGTCTCCTCCCGGGGCCATGGGGGTGGGGGGCAGGTGGGAGCTCTTAGCCCCAGGGTGGCAGACAGGTGACCTGTCCCTGATTCACGTCCTGCCTTGCAGCACGAGGGCATCTGTGCCTTCCCTTCCATGGAGTTCTACGAGAATAACCTGAAGACTTGGCAGGGCTTGAGGCGGCTGCCCAGTGTCCTGGGCCACGCCGAGAAAGAGAGCTGCTCTGTCATCTTTGGCTACGTGCAGGGCCACGAGCAGAGCCTGCTGGTGTCCACAGAGGAGGGGAACGAGAACTCCAAGGCCAACCTGGAGGAGGTGGCAGAGGTGGTGGGTGTCAGGGAGACCCTCCTGGTTGGTGCCCCTTGGTCAGCGAGGGCTTCCTGGAGGAGGAGGCAGAGGAGCTGAGGGAGCAGGGGAGGCTCCTGCGCCCGGCGGGAGGTGGGGGGAGGCTCCAGGGCAGCTCCGCCAGTAGCCGTTTGGTCCCTCAGGTCCGCATCGCCAAGCAGCTGACCCTGGGCAAGACAGTGGAGCCCAAGGACATTGCTGTGCTCACGCCCTACAACGCGCAGGCTGCACAGATCAAGAGTGGCCTGGCACGGGAGGGTGTCACCGGCGTGACCGTGCGCTCCATCACCAAGAGCCAGGGTGAGGCTCCAGGCGGGGCTGGGGCGGGGCAGGCGGCTAGGGTTGGGGGGGCCTCGCCTGGAGCCTCACCCTGCCCCGCCCCCAGGGAGTGAGTGGCGCTACGTGCTGGTGAGCACTGTCCGCTCGTGCCCTGAGAGCGACCTGGACCAGCGGCCGACCAAGAACTGGCTGAAGAGGTTTCTGGGTTTCGTCGTGGACCCCAACCAAGTGAACGTGGCCATCACCAGGGCCCAGGAGGGGCTCTGCCTCGTCGGTGAGGGCTGCTCCCCGGCTGGGGGGGGCGGGTGACGGGCCCGCCGGGGCCACCACTAAGTCCTGCCTCTCACAGGCGACCACCTCCTCCTGCGCTGCTGTCCTCTCTGGCGTCGACTCCTGGACTTCTGTGAGGACCAGAAGAGCCTCGTGCCTGCCAGCCAGGTGCGGGTCCGGAGGAGGCCGGCTGTGTCTTCCTGAAGCGCCCGCCCCCTGTCCACTAGCAGGATGCTGAGGGAGTCTCTGCTGGCTGCCTCCGCAGGCCCCACTCAGCAGAATCCCATGTGCCTTCAGTGGTCACTGCCGGCTACCGCCCAGCCACCCTTGCCTACCTGCCTGGGCAGGGGCTTTGCAGACCGGCTGTGGTCATGCCCTGCTGTGTGTGCACGAACTTGGGCGGACTGGAAGGGTCGGTGGGTCCCCACCCTCCCTGCCGACCTGCCTTTACTGCCACATTTGGTGACAAGGGGCATCTCAGGGGTGAGAGTAGAGGCTTCTGGACCAACGTGACACCTTCTGGTGCTGCAGGGAAGGTTCGGAGTCAGGGAGAATGTCCCTTGGCTTCTGGATCCCGACCCGGCCGTGGGTCCAGCCATGGAGCTCAGCTTTATTTTCTATTTTTAAATAAACCAAAACCTAGTGTCTTTTTTTTACTGGAACAGGGTCTTCAGCCCAAACTCAGGGCAAAGACGCTTTCCTAGAAGCCAGGGCCTTTCTCGGCCACCTCCGCCACCTCACGTGGACCCACAAGCGTGTCCCCTCAGGGTGCGTGTGTCCTGCCTTCTCCGGAAAGCTCTCACCTCCACGTCTGCCCCCAGCCCACCCAGAGGCAGCTCTGGCCCTGAGTTTTAGTGCAATTCCACTGTCCCCAGGGCCGGGGACACTGCAGACAAGTTGTTTACACCAGGAAGGGCTTGCCCCACTTGTGGCCTGGCTGCAAGGCCCCTGGGCACGGGGATGTGTCTGTGTCTGTCTGATTCTGATGCTTGCTACCAATTTCTACATTCCAATTTTGTATCTTTTCTTGGACTGTGATATGATTGAACATTGATTTTATTATAAAGATCACTCTGAATGCTTTCTCAACCTTGAGTGTCTTGACGTCTGGCTGGGGAGAGCCAAGGGGTGGCCCCCCTCTTGCTTTGAGTTGCAAAGTGGCTCTTGAGGCTGTGGAGCCCCGTGGTAGCAGATGCTGATGGGGAGCCCACGAAGGGGGGCCCACGTCCCCACTGTCCATCTGCAGACACGGCCAGCGGGCTGGGGGCCAACTGCCAAGACAAAGGAGGCCGGAAGGGAGGCCGCTTGGCCGGGATGGGCCACAGCCAGTGAGCGGTGTCCAGGTACCGCAGGCGTGCCCAGCACACTGACCTCTGACCCTAGGCAGAGTTGGCCCCAAAGTCTAAGTCCAAAGTCCCCCAGACCGCCAGCAGGCCCTGTGCTCGCCAAGCCTGAAATTACTCCCCAGGACACTCGGGCACTGCACGCCCCCTGGGGGCTGACCTGGGCTGTTCAGCATTCTGCTTGTTGAGGGCTGAGCCCCCAGCACCTCGAGTGCTAGCTGGGCAGAGGGA